ACACCTTCTAGTTTTACTATTCAATCAAAATGGTTTCGATGTCTCTCATCTCACCTGTCTCACTAGTGATTCAGCACACTTTGATATCATTTTTGTTTCGTTCTTACTTAATATTAATTTGTTTGTGACAATTATGTTTTAAACACATTTTTGCGAGTAACTTACAAATATAATATTGAGGACATTAACTGAAATATTATTATTATTATTATCATTTTTTGTATTCTTCTTTTACTTGTATCATCCACACCGACAAGTAATTGTCTGCTCTAAATACTGAACGTATGGAGTTATTTAAATTCATGTTCAAAAGTATTAATTGTTTTTTTGAATTGACAATTTCAGTCATCTTTTGGGCATTTAAAACTGCAGCATATCACATGAAAGTATTAAATATATTACACAATAAAGTAAAATAAAAGAGAATTCTGATCCTTAGGAACAGATATTAAGTAGTCTCATCATCGAATGATGGAGCACAATTACCTTTTAAACAAATAAAAAAGAATTTTACCTTTTAAACTAAAAATTTGCTTATTTTTAAATAATTTATTAATACTCAAATTGTTGAAAAGATGATATGGTAACGAAGTTTTTTATTTTATTCAGGCATTTATTTATATTTTTTTCATTTATTTTTATTTTATTAAATTAAATGCACACGTTTAAAATAAAAACAAAGCTGTCAAAATTTCATATATAGTTTCGATTTACAATTTTAAGAAATTGTTTCGACCTTGATTTGGAAATTTAAAAGTCTTATTAATTAAAAATTTGAGAAGCCTTATTAACTTTAGACACATAATAACAACAAAAATCAGGGAGTTAAAAATAGAAACGAATATGATCAATAAACAATAAAATCATAAGCAAACTAAATTAATTAATTTTGTGTACGAAATATAATATTTCAAATTAAACATATTTCATATTTAGGGGAAACGTGGAAAATTTGGTCATACAGGAGTTTTAAAAAGTTTTTTTCTCGTGTTTAAACATTTGTTTAGTTGATGATCATTTGATTTCAATGCTCGATGAAACAAAATCCTATGTCGTTTCTGTCTATTAGCAGTAAGTAAATGAAAACAAAATTACATTTGTTATCTCAATTTCATCCAGAACAGAACAAATCAAGAGTTTTGGCAGACAGGCCAGTCAAAGAGGGANTATCTCAATTTCATCCAGAACAGACCAAATCAAGAATTTTGCAGATAGGCCAGTCAAAGAAGGAATTGAATAGTGGCCCGCCATTTAAATAAATAAACAAAAAAATTCACAATGTATATATAAAAAATTCACGTTTTCCCTAACCACAACCAAAATTGATATAATAAAAACATTTGTTTACCTCCAACGTGAAAGATTTATGTCTTCTTAATATCCAACGAAAATTTGATGTAGAATTTCCAATTCTCGGATTCTCTTACGATTAATTTGAAAAATATTGGCCCATCCTTAAAAACGGCTCTGGTTCTTATGCATTCCTTGAATCGTTAAACCAAACCCTCTTCCCACAAATCCAGTATGTTAATTTTTAAAAAGACGTGAAATGCTTATACTAAACTCAATTTATATAGAAGTACATTTTACTGGGTCTCATTTCAAGCATAAATGGCATTTAAATGTAATTGTGAGAGTTTTTTTAAGGCCAATAATTATATAGTATCTAGCGAAAAGTGACCGGACATGCAGTGGTATGGACTTGTAGATGACAGTTTGTACACGTCTAGACGGACTTTCCACCAGTTTTCTATTGGTTGCCATGGAATTGACTTCTGAGCGTCCATCATAGAAGAAGCGAGTACTAGCAGTGAGGATGGTTGATTTGGGTGGCTGTGTAATCCGCATTTTAATTCGTTCCAAAGGTGTTCAAATGGGATTTAGATTGGGGCTCTGAAAAGGCCACATATTTTGTTAAATCATAGCCATGCCATTCTCAATATGGAATGGTGCAGTTATTCTGCTGGAAGAGAGATGGGCTTTCTCAGAAATATTTCCATAGAGTTGAGGATGCAGCATTGTTCAGAATGTCTACATTTCACAGTTCATGTTTTTAACTATAGGAACAATGGGTTCCTGGTCAAACCATGAAAAACATCGCCACATTGTGATGCTTAAAGTGGATAACTTCATACTTTTGGTCAGATAGTGTGATGCAGCTGGATAATAAATTGCTAACTAACATTTCTTTGTGACTTTCAACTGATGATTGATTGCATTATTGTAAGTTTTCTTTTGTATGATTTCATCACACAGAGTAATAATTGCCTTTTTGGGTTTCAAAAGCTTTACAAATAGGTATTGCCCCTGTATTTGTAATATGTAGTGAGGTAATTTATATTATGAATTGAACAACAAACAATTCATTACTATTTCATTCATAGAAATTCGAACAATAATTCTAATGCAACTGTTTGATTGAAGAGACTTCATTTGAGATAGGCCATAAAGGGAATAAAATAATTTTATTTGTCCAAAAATGATGAAATTGCAGTTAAAATTGTTAAATGAATAGAAAAAATATCATAGAACCATTTAAAAAAAACTTTTATATTGGAACATTATCTCTATTGAATCAATGTAAAACATAATCTATGAGTTATGCAAGTAGAATAATATTGTATATGTATTCCTTTACAGCAATGTTTAATATGTTTTTAATATGTAATATGTTTAATAATATGTTTTCCTTCACAGCAAACAATTATTAAAAATAATTATAAAAGAAAAACTTTCTTGGTTTGGAGTGTGTTTACAGTAACAAAGGCTCCAGTTTACTTAATATTAAATATAATACCATAGATAATAGTAATTTACCATTTTGTAAAGCTTGCTTCATTTCATATGAATTTGAAAGAAGATCTTTAAAACATTTCACAACAGTTTCTTCCCTGGCATACCAATTGCGAATAACACTCTATAGAAATGTACAAAAATATTAGAAAACAATGTATATAACAAAAATGCTAAAATGTTTTTACAATCATAAGATTAACATCAATATTCTAATTCACGTATAAAACATCAATAATAATATAAAATCCTTACCTTTAAAAATGTATATCATATTTTTTTTTTTATAATCAAGTAGGAAAATTTCTACTAACATTTTCTTTTGGGACAGTTTTTCATCATTAAATAGCACTGTAAACACTGATTTATCATTTAAGAAAATCAGATTTTACCTCAACAAAATTGGAAGTTGACAGGAAAAAAACACATGTTTCAGGGAAAAAAATATTAATAAATTATGCAGAGATGTAAACTTGATATGATGATTTTCTGTTATAAAGGAGCTATTTTTTGCATCAACATAGCGAATTTAACATAAACAGTAAAATGTGTCATGAAACACCTAATTTATGTACTACTAGTTGCATGTTTTTCAAATAATTAAATAAGCTACAGTATATTTTAATTACATCAAAATTAACAATCAGAAATGATAAAAGTAGCAAAAAAAGTAGTAGTTGCTTCAATTATTATAAAACAAACAAAACCCTTCATCAGTAAATAATACTTTCTATGCACTAAATGGCTATCTTAACTAAAATACACTTATCTCATTAGGAGACATAAGCCTGCGAGAATTTTAGGAAACAAATTTATACCCACTTCACAATTAAATGCAATCAACTAGTTAATACAAACTGAATTTAAGGAATTGTAGTTATTTTATTAAAATGTAACAAAATATCAAAAAAAGAAAATTATTATAAATTACCATAAATCAGTAAAAGATGGCATCCCTAAATTATACCTCGTCAAAAGATATAATTTAAAATAATGCCAATTCATGACATAAATTAAGATAATTGATTATTTTTACTGTGTTGATATAAATGTCAGCCTATTTCACTAAATTGTTATGTGAATAAACAAAAGTTTATTGTAAAAGATAACAGATGTTAAGATAAACATGCAATTTTATTTTTAAGTAAGTAAAAAAGTGTCAAATATTTATTTTATTTTTTTAAATTAACAATAAATTTTATCTACTTTCCACAAAATTTCAACTTTTGAGATTTTTATAAATGTGAAATTGCATACAAAATTGTAATGTTTTATAACTTGCAGTTCATTAAGAATAAGATAAAAAGAATGAATATATGAAGGCATTACAGTGAATACAACTAAGATAAAATTGTAATTGAAACTAATAAAAAAAGCAGGGAAAGTATAAACATTTTTTAAACCACTGAATAAAATGTAGGATTTTCAGTCACAGTTCACTTACACTTTTTTAAAAAAATAAGCAGTAAAATTAAAATTTATTACTGTTATGAATTGCTTAAATAATGATAGATGTAAAACATACCTGAAGTAAGTTTTTAGCTAATCGTACTTTTCCAGTATAAATAAGTAATAAACGTGCATTCAACTGTTCAATGATTTCTTCTTTAAGATTTAATGAATCTATTTTTACTTGCAATGGTAGAACTGGGTCAGAATAACCTCTATTAACCCCACCTGTGATTCCAGACACTTGATCTTGCCAGCCACCACCAGTAGTTAAAAGTTGCTCAACATGCAAGACCTAAAAATAAATAATGAGTTACTTTGAAAAATATTTAACATTTTATTTATAAAATATGTGGCATAAATAAATAGCTATTAATAAAGCAAATGTTTATAAACCGAAATAGATACAAGTCTTGCTTTCCCGGGCACCTGATGGGAGGAGAAAAAGAGGAAAGCCAAGAATGACATGACAAGGATAAATGCAAATGGATTTTAGGTGGGTACAATTTAAGGGTTTAGAGAAAGCCAGAGATCAGGGAGCATGAAGAAGTAGGTTGTATGTGTTAAGCGCCAAACAGTTTCAAGAGCCCAAGTAAGTAAATATTTTGAAAATGTAGCCTTTTTGAAACAATTTTTGTTAAAATATTCAGTGAATAAATTTCTAACCTACATTTTTTGTTTATAAGCAGAAAAAGGAGTTTCTAATTCATGTTTCAGCATTCTGCAGTTTTTTAGGTATTCACTTATCAGCAACTGTTTAATCTTTATGTATTTACAGATTATAAATAATATAGCTGATGCAGATGTGATGATCAAAATTGTTATTTAAAAACAGTGCAAGCAATTTTAATTATATACCAAACACTTATAATTTACTCACAGCATGAATTACAGTTAGCTTGTCATACATTTTTCCAGAAGCAGACCATAAAGCGGCAATTATAGCTCCAGCAAGAATACTGCTTGTGCCCATTCCTTAAAATAAAGCAAAACAATGATATAGCTCTTAATCAAATGATTAATTTAATTAAAATAGCAAAGAAATATTTAAATTGTAATGACTGTACTAGTTTATGCATGGTGTAGAATGCATTCAAAATTAAAACTACATACTGCTAACATAATAACCAGAAATACTACTAAATTTTGATGCATTAATTAAAATTAACACTTATCATATTCTATGTAACTGCAGATTTCATGTTACAAAGTCAATGTTAGGAATTTTTTGAAAAATTTTCATTTTGAAAATTTTCATTGAAATTCTAAACAATTATCAAAAGTTTCTTCCAACTTTTCCATTATAGAAACACTTTACCTTTACTGTTTCTTGATACAAAAAGCCAATGCTAGTTCTCACACTTCAAAACAAACTGCAAAATAGCTGGATGATAATGTAATAAACATTTGAGAGTGGCCTGCCTTATTCCTTGATTCAGAAAAAAATTCATATGGAAAAAAGAAAAATGAACTGGAAGAAGCAGGAAAGACAAGTCAAAGAATGGATAGAAGATTTAGAGTAAAAAAGGGGGGAAACAACTTTTGACACTTTTGAACATTACAACTGGAACAAAACAATTTTCAAAGTCTGTTTTAGAATCTATGTCAAGACAGTTTCAAACGGTTATTGATGTTAAAGAAGAAAGAATTAAGTAACTACTAACTTTCGACACTTTTGAACATTACAACTAGAACAAAACAATTTTCAAAGTCTGTTTTAGAATCTATGTCACGACAGTTTCAAATGGTTATCGATATTAAAGAAAGAATTAAGTAACTACTAATTTATCTGTATCTATAAAGTTGAGACATCTTTAAATGTTTTTTAAAGAAACTTTTGATATCTATTTTAATTTCTTGTAAAGCATTTTTTGAAAGTCTCAAATTTTTTGCTCCATACTATAAGAATATCAACTGCATGTATTAACAAAAAACATTGAAAGCATTTATTTGTTTTGTTATTTATTAAAAATTGCATACTATAGAAGTAGTAGTACTGAGTTTTGCTTCCATTACACATGCTTAAAGCTCTAGCTTAAAAGATTCACAACTGAAGCTCCTGCACTTTAAAGCATCCTAGTTAATCTCCCTGAAACATGTTATGAAATACATATATTTTACAACTAATAATCTTCCAATCCAATGTTAAGTAATTTTTCCACTGGATGAGACTGTTTAAAGTTTAAGTAATGCATACTAACATTCAATAAATTGCAGTTTTACTTCACTACTCTTTAAACTCCCATCTTGTCAAGAGAACTAGCTCTCCGATTTATAATAATTATGTTTATTTAACTATAAACTTATATTTTAAAATGCAATCTCTGTATTTATTAATAATTAATGCCTCGGTTTTCTATGAATTGTCAATATTTCTTCAAGAATACAGCATTGCAGAATTAAATGAGAAAAATACAAAGCAAAGGTAAGCATTTACAGGGTATCTGCTACATTTTAGATTTTCAAATTCATGACTTTTCATGATTTTCCATGACTAATTCCAAGAATTTTTCATGACTTAATGAAGTTGCTATTTTCTCCAACAAAAATGCAACAATAAATTAAAAAAAGCATTATAATAACATTATTTGAAATAGGCATAACCAAAACTATTATACTCTTCATCTTCATATTTATAGATTTTAAACTTAAAAAACAGAGTAAGGAAAGAGTTGAAACAATAAAATAGCTGAAAAAAATACAAAAGCAAAAAAATTTTTTTTCTGCAGAATTATATACTTTTCTTGTTCATCAGAAAGGAAAGAAATACTCCTGATTTTTCTGTTCATTTCGGAATAAAAAAAATTCGCCAATAACTGGTTTGCTTCAACTAGAATTTTAAATTGATAAAATTAAAAAAAAAATAATAATAAAAATTCTTGAATCACAGAAGAGAGTTTAAAGGATAATTCGCTCTAGAAATGATAGTTTTTCTTTCATTTTTTGAAAGAACACCATAATTTTCAAAGAACATGATAAAATCATTTTATATTCAAATAAAATATGACTGAGTGGTGATTTTGTTAGAAATTCAGATATTTGGAACAGGATGAAATTGGGGGGAGGGAGATTCCATTTTAAAAATTAGATTTTTCGGAGATCTAAATCCATGACTTTCCATGATTTTTTTAGAAAAAGAGTAAAAATCATGACATTTCATGGCAAATTTTGTTCAATACCGAAATTCATGACTTTCCATGATTTTTCATGACTTTCCAGGTGCGCGGATACCCTGCATTTATTTCCCTTTCTACTTTTTATTCATTTTTCAGTGTGTGTTTTCTAAAAAATACACACCAAATGTTATGAAAAAGAAGAAATTATCGGCAACATTACTCCTTATTTGTATTTAATCAAAGAATAAAACTGATTTACAGAAATTCAGAAAAAAGACTAAATAAGAAAATAATATTTAAAATGAGTCAAAATGGAAAAGCGCTAAAAAGCACCTAAAACCAAATTTGCCTTATTTTAATAATTTAGGAAGTTAGAAACACAAATCAAGCAGAAAACGAAGAGTATTTAAAGATAAGTAAGTTAGAAAAAAACAGCACTTCAACAGGGGACACACTGTCTGCCAACAAACAGGAGCCTTTTTGTCGCCAGTGGTAATACCAAAAACTGACTGTGCCCCGAGGCCCCACAATGGATAAACTAAATATGAAAAGCAATTAAAAATTCAAAAATTAAAATATAAATGCAATGAAAAATTAATGACGTACAAACACAATTCAAAAATACACACAGTAAGACTGGATAATGAAACAACCACATGTAAGAAAAATAAATAAAGTCACAGTTAGAATTCATTTGTATTGTTTTTCTTTTGTTGATATTTGTTTAATTAAATGATAGAAAAAGTGCAATAAAATTTTCAGGAAAGAAGTTATTCTTTGGTATTTTATATGGGTTTTTGAGTCACTACGGATATATTTTTTCGAAAGAATTACAAGTCAGGAACTTTAGAAACTGATCATAAGAGGTAAAGGTTCCATTATAGATATGGTTTTTGATCAAAAATCTGCAGTGCTTAAGCAAAATAATGAAAGCGCGCATATGTGAGAACAATATTTGAATTAATCTTGAATTATAATTCAAGATTAATTCAGGCATAGAATTGAGGATACAAATAAAGGTAATACAATACATCTTACCACATCCTTGAGGCAATAAAGACCAAGATTGAATTTCAAAACCACCACCGAATTTTGAAAGAAGTTGATCTGCTAAAGCTATTAGAGAATTACTGTCAATGATTTCAGTACAAATAATTGCTGCTTTAAGCAAAGCTCCTAAAATAAATGAAAAATCGATTTAAAAATATATTAAATTATTAACACAACAATGAGTATGTAGAAATTACACTAACTTAAAAAGTGAGAGCTTAAAAACATTTAATAAATGAATAATACGAAAATTATTTTGCTTACAATGAATGAAACTGCAAAAAATTATGATATATTCACAGAGTTAAGCAATTTCAGATATTTTTTCTCATCTACATGAAAAAATAAATAAATAAAAGAAATACTTGAAGAAAAGAAATTTCAAGTAAGTTTTGTTAAACAGGCTGATAAAAGTACCTTTAACAATAACTGTTTTTATTCCTTATTTTGAAATTTTATTCTTTATTTTAGTTTAAGGTTAAACTGGAATTTCATATCAAAATTAATAAATAGTATTGAAATGTTAACAAATTAAATGTAAATTCTTTAGAACGAAATAAAAAAAATATTCAAATACTGTGAGCAAATAAAATAAAGAAAAATGTTCAAGAAGTATAGTAACTTTTACGGATAGAAACATTTTCACTATATGTAAAATGTAAGCATATGAAAACTAAAAGTTGGCAAATTTTGTAATACCTTTTGCATTTGGCTGATCATAGTTTAAAATATCTTTTATGTCTGTAATTATAATTTCATGATGCAGTTCCCCAATTCCAATTTTTAGACGAATGTGAGGTCTAAAAATATTTTAGAATATGTTATAAAAAATAGTCGTAGTATTTGACGATCATAAATAAGTAAATATGTAATTTTTAAGTATTAAAAAATTCTTAATTAGCATTTTATAGAATCTAAAGTGCACTTAACTCTAATAAATATTACTGATAAAAAATTGTGAATTTGATGAATAAACAGATTTTAACAACTTTACTAATTATAGATCATCACTATCCAATTTTCACATAATACAAAACAATTAAGTTGCTTGATAACACTAAGGAACAAATGTGTTGTTGCATTTATGCAAATACTTGATATTGCTTAATTCGGGTGTCAGGATTTCAAATCTGAAATTAATTTAGCTCTTAAAGGTACAGATTTTTTTTTTAACAAACATATTTAGTCAATTTTTTATCGAAATGTATAATTTTAAAAATGTTACCTATAACAAGGGGTCACATTAATTTTGTGACATACTTCTAGGGAGTTAGAGCATCAGGATAGAAATTGCAGAGGAATCCTTGATCAGAAATATCATTGTACTTGGCTAGGAGCGTTCCCAATTATGACCTCTTTGGAAACATACGAAGAAACAGTTCATTACAGGGAAACACCCCTAGCGACGTATGACATTTCCAAGCATGGGTGTCAAAAACTTTTTAATCCTGATGTGCCCTAACTCCCCTTAAAGCTTGTCGCAAAATTTATGAGACATCCTAGTATATATAACAATTTTAAACTTGTACATTTTGACAAAAAATAAGACTAAAATTTAAATTTTTTTTTATAAAAAAAATACAGCTTAGACAGAAAAACAGAGATTGCAGATTTGATCAGTGATACAAAGGTATCTAAGATATATTAAAAATTCTCATGCAACAGATAGGAAAAAAATTTGTTCTCTAATGTAATTTACACAAAAAACATAGAAACGAATAAGTTATCAGTGACACCAGTATGAAACAATTGGTCGAAAAAAATTGAAAGTTTTAATATTTTGAGTTTTTCAATTCTGGGTAAAATTGTATGGTGTTTTTTCTTATTTAGAAATATTTTCTCACTGTTAGAGATCAGACATTATTATTATTGCAGAAGGGCAAACATATAAAATGTTTTCATAGCAACAATTCTTTTCGTCTGATTTTTTCAAATACCCAAGAAAATATAAAAAGGTTTTAATGACAAAATTAGGACAAGGAGTAGATTAAGAGAGTACAAAAATATTTTTCCCTTTTATGGTGAAGAAAATTATAATCAGTCAAAGTAGTTTTCCCTGGAAAGTTCAGATTAAAAGTTAATTTAATTCATAATAAATTCATATGACCATAGATTTATGAATCCCGGTTTCCTTGCACCATAAAAATGTGAGATCATTAGCTCAAAAGTCTAAAGGAAAAAAAAGGGAAAGTGACTGAAAAACAAGTTCGAAAAACCACCGGAAAATTCCAAATGACGATAACTGACTTATAAAGAATAATTCAATTTTTTAAAGTGCTATATGAGATGAAATGTCTTTCCTAGTTGGCCTTTGTTTTTTATTTTTATTTTAAGGTTAATTTCAGAATATTATGAAATTCTAGCATTGCTTAAGATTTTTTTCCTCCTCATTAAGCATGAGTTCTAATTTGTTATTCAACACATGCATACATACAGACCTGCCAACCCCAGAAATTTAAAAGGCCTGACTGATGTATAGCATAATAAGCAAACCAATAAAGATTTAAAAAAGAAATCCTCTCATTTCTTAAATGAATTTATTTAAGCAACCTTGTCACTATGATGCAAAAAAATTATAACAACAAAAAAACCTTGTCTTATGCCTGATATTTAACTAGTTGAGTGATGAGATAAGCTACTTTTCATTCTATAACCTGTTGGTTTTTAAAGAAATATCTTTACTCCTAGAAATTTTGTTCACCTCTGCATATGAAAAGACTGTAAAATGTAGTTAAATTGGTGATATGGCTTTAGACAACACAAATAAAAAAAAAGAAGATAAAAGTAGATAGCAACCAAAGAATTATAAGTATTTATCTTTACATAATGATTAGAAAAGCCTTACAGATTTCAGTTCTAATAAATTTTTACAATTTATAATGTCTTATAACAATAATCTGCAAATTTTAATCACCACAGTAAAAAATGTAGTGTTGATTGAAATAAAAATATTTAGTGTTTCTATGAACAAGGAATTATTTATTTCATATTTAAACAAATCATAACTTACTCAGGAATTCTGCAAGCTCGAGCACCAATGGGTTTCTATAATAATACAAGGGAATCAAAATGTTAGTTATTAAGTTAGAATCTAACAGTAAATTATTAAATTAGAATAAAAGTATCAGATATTGAATTAGAATACAAGTGTAATGTATAAAATTAGAATTAAAATGCAAATTATTGAATTAAAATCAAAATTTAAATCATTAAATTAGAATTTAATAGTAATCTAAATAAAAAACGTTTCAAGGATATCCAGCTGGTGAATTTTTTTAATTCAAAGCAATGAATAGATATTGTTTTTGGTTGATTCGAAGCTAAACGGCAAGTATTGTTCTCCTATAAAGGCTATCAACACGCAAAATTATGTTTCCCATATAAAGCACAAAATTAAATTCAAAATTACGAAAAAATATTTAAACCAAACAATTTACAAATAAACAATCTTTTATTAAATATTACATTTGTTATCAAATTTTCAAACAATAAATTTTTTATTCATGCCAGCTGGAGATGTGAGAAATAATGGGTAATTAGAGTCTTATTACTAGAAATATTGACCTATCTATTCATTTTTAATTAATAGGTATTTAATGTGATTATAGAAACCAATGAAGAAACAAAAATGGCTATGAATTGAATACTGAATGATAAAACGCAGATACTTTTTTGTTTAAAGACAGATCTAAATAAAAAATTTGTATAATGTTAAACAGATAAACTAAGAAAAATCTAAATCATTTTTTGTTTCAAATATTTATATTGTTTAATCAACTAGATACACCATGCTAAATGTAGAGTCTTGATTGGAAGTCAACTTTATCTCCACTTTGCTTGTCATGATTAAGCTTGTCAACAGGGTAGCTCAGACTCTTCTACCAGGACACTGGTGTCCCCTACCCTTTCTTCAAGAAGAAGTTGAAGTATCATCAAGAAACAATTCTACACTATTTTAAATTTTTCATAGATAAAATGTGGTAGCCCAGTGGTTACACAATCTGACTCCGGTCTGGTGGAGCCGGGGTTTAAGGTCAGACCGAGATAATGCAATGTATGTGCTTGTGGAATCGAAAGTCATATGGTCGGTCACAGAGCAGTACGATGGGTACAGGGATCTGGAGAAAATTCCCTTCCCCTTCAGATATATTTTTAAATTGAGGAAGCGACCTCATGAAGGAGTAGTGCAACTATCATGTAGGGTTCTGAGCCAATCCTCTTTCACCCATGCAGTGTTCCCTTTTCAAATAAAAAGGCGACCATTCCTGACTTAATCCGCAAGGTGAATGCGCTTGGTTTGTCCAAGTGTCATTAGAAACAACAACAACTAAATACATTTTTTTCTCAAAAAGTAAATAATTTCATAGAAATTTGAAATAACATTCAATTAAAAATGTCAAAATTAATGTTCACTAAAATTATAAAATTTTTTTGTTGATTTATAATTTTAAAAAAAATTTACCAAACAAAACAAAAAATCATTCTTTCTTCTTCATTCTGTAGTTTTAATATTTTTTTTTAAACAAAAAAAGTATCCATCTCAAAAATCAAGTCAAAGTAAATGAGGCATAAGTATTTAAAAAGTACAGAAAAAAGCAAAGTTTAAGTAGAACATCCAAAAAAATATTTATAAAAAGCACCTTTCCATCAATTAATACAGCAACATTTACAACAGAGCCCCCTAATTCGTAGCAGATTGGAGGAGTATCAGACCATCCACCTTGTAAATCTATGCGAGCAGGACACTCAACTGTTACTATGGTTCCCATATCAGGCAAACTTACAGATGATAATGTAATGAACTGTAATAAAATTTAACTACTATATAATATCAAATTTAAAACAAATAAGTGATAATATATATAATAAATTCTAAAATAAATGTTTAATACAGAGACTCTTCAGTTACAGTTTTTTTAAATGTGTTTTGAAGATACATGGCCCACCTAGGCCAATATGGTGGGTAGAGTCTGTCTGCTATGGCTTGCATCAGGATGTTTGATCAGATTGTACTTTTTCAAATTATGTCTTATTGGTTCAGAATCTCTTCTAATGTGTCCCAAGCTTTAAAAGTGGGAAAAGTCAACACACATTCCAGCAGTAGAGAAAAATTGGTGCAAAGGTTGCCCGCCAACCAACTATCCTCTGATATTAGTTATGATTAAGGCCCGGATTTTGATGACATTTGCATTTTTTTGCATTTTTGGACATTTTTTGTCCTTTAGAGCATTTTTTTAGATTTATAGGGCATTTTTTTTAATTCTGGGCCGTATTTTGCATTTTAAAGCATTTTTTAAGTTTTTTGTTAATTTTTTCCAATTTTTATTATTTTTGGGGCATTTTTATTACATGAAATCGTGTTGCCCTCTGATAAAATCGAAGGAAACTTATCATTTATCAAGTCTAACTTTGTTATTGTGTCCTCGACAATTACAAACTTGGAGAAAAAAGAATTGGAACTTTGCGATGCAATAAATTATATTGACGTAGTGAGTTAAGTGTTGCAAAAAGCAAGGGGAAAGATAGCACAAAATGTAGCAGCTAAATTTAGCAAAGTTTTAGGGAAGAACACTGACTTCCAAACAATGAAGAAAATCTCTAGGATATTAACAGGTGAAGCAACATCTTTTAAAATTGAAGAAGAATTGTCAGTAAGTGAGACCGTCTTCTTCAAGTATGCACCAATAACATCAGTAGACGTTGAAAGGAGCTTCTCCAGGTGTAAAAATTTACTTTCAGACAAGAGAAGTTCGTTTACATTTCAAAATATCAAAAATCATTTCATAATCCAATGTCAATAATCCAATCTGATATTTAGTAATATTATGAGATGGAAGTTGTTATATTCATTAAAATTTCTATACAAAATGAAAATGTTTTGGAGTCAATGCATTTTCTTTTTTTTTGTTGTTATTTTAGGATAGAAAACATATTTTTCAAACTTTAATGAACGTAGAACAAGTATTGCATTGCTTTATATTTTTTGAAATGACTCATAATAATTTTAGAGAGCAAAACATTGCTTTGGTTCAATATTTTTACTTTATTTAAGTCATGTCATAAAGCATTTATAGCGCCATTTTTGCATTTTCAGAGCATTAATGGCATTTTTTGCACTTTTTAAAGACATTTTTTGAAATTTTTAAGGGCAGTAGTTGAGATTTTTTAGGTCATCAAAATCCAGGTTCTAGTTATGATAGTGTAAGGTACACATGCACCAGTATTGTTTTCACACCATCAAGAATATATTCACAACAAATGCCAATATCCAACTAGTTTAGTAGCTGTAGTACGGCATTAAAATCCACACCAAAAATATTTAGTTTTTTTCTCTCAATACAGTATGATTATAGCATATTATTACAGTAGAGTCTCAATAATTCGAGGCACGTGGGACTGAGCCCACCTTGAACTTTCAAAAACTTGAATTATCAAAAGCTTAGAATTTAAGAAATATTTAAATAAATGGAAACAAAGCATTTCTTAAATTTCAGTATTTAATTGAAAATATATTATATTAAAAGAATTTTTTTTCATAGGATGATCAGGGTACATTTACTGCATTACACCAAGTTACAATATTCATTATATTATTGAATCAGGTTAATTGCATGCAATAATTGTCTAATATTTTTTGTTTAAACCCACTGTTCATATGTTTCAGTGTTTAATACACGAATTTATTTTTCAATATTCAATCATAGTAATTGCAGTAAAACCAATCCTAGTAATCATTCCACATGTTGGTCATTGTTAAGGAGCAAGACTGATTTTTTCATGATTTCGAATTTACGGGAAACTCAAACAATCGAGACTCTACTGCATGGATATCAGTAGAATGTTTAGCGTAGTTGAAGAACGTTTTTATCCATCTAAAAAATTTTATGAAATTTCTATCACTTACTATTTTTTTTGTCATACATATCAAAAGATTTTTAGTGAATGGTTTAATATTTCTATTAATAACTTAAAATAATCATTAATATCAACTAAAACTAGTTTTTTTCTTTTTTCAAACAAATATGCCCTTCAATAACATTTTGAATTTTACCTTTTATACAAATCCAGCTGAGATATTTAATGTATTGACTTTGTAAAGAAAGGATTGCTGATGAAATTTTCAATATTTTTGTTATTAAACTAAAGGATATTTTTCACAAATTATTTAACTCATTATTCTATTACTTATAATAGAGTGACAGAATTTTCATTACTCTTGAACTTTTTCTTTATCATTTTACAGCAGCATTTTCCTGTTATTAAACTTAAGGACATTTTTCACAATTTAATTAACTCATTGTTCTATTAATTTTTATAGAGTAACAGAATTTTCATTACTCAAGAACAATTTCTTTATCATTTTACAGCCGCTTTTTTTTTGTTATTTAACTTAAGGACATTTTTCACAAATTAATTAACTCATTATTCTATTACTTTTAATAGAGTAACAGAACTTTCATTATTCTAGAACAATTTCGTATCATTCCACAGAAGCATTTTTCAAATGGTTCAGTTTACTGCGCGTTGAAATATTTTAAAAAGCTGTTCATAAAAACCAATATACTATGTTAAGAATAAAAGTTTTGAAATAAATTATTAGAATTTGTAGAGTAATTTTAAACTCCTTATTCCAATTTCCGCTTGTAGATATAGACATGTTCAAAATAATTCATTTCTATCATTAATTAATAACAATTTATCCTTAACTCAGAATTTTTTTTAATCTTAATCAGAACTTATCATAGAGCTACTTCATGATTGAAGGGTTACTGGTTGGGAAAATCCTCCAGTGAAAAGTAAATGAAACATGTGATAAACAGCACAAACACTGACTTAAAGAGTAACCACTAACTCAATCAATTGATTGAAGGAGCGAACAAGCAGAAATTTAACAAACATTCAGAACTGTGCAAACATCGAGAAGAAATTATCAGAAAAGAATTTATAACTGTCAACCGGGACATTGTATAGCTTATAAGCTACTTCATGTGTAACATATGAACAGCAACAGTTGTAGTAGCAAAACATGAGTAAATGAAGTATTTGTACTCAAAAATTCATTTATTTATTAGAGAAATCTCTTAACTAATACTGATGCACTTAATCTTAATCGTAAAATGAATTGTAAAAGATTTAACGATAAAATGTAGCTAAATGAGTGAGGAGCGAGATATCATGAAACTATTGCAAAAGGTAAAAAAAGCATAATTACAAGAGTAATACCAGAGGTATGGTGTACCGTTACCCTTCAAACTTTGGCAAGGCTGTGATTTATTAATTGAATTTTGGTAACGGTTACCCAGGTTCAAAAATAGACACTTGACTAATGAAGTACATGAAACTTTTAACAATAAAAAGTAAATTTTATTATAACTATAAATTAACAACAAACACAATCCCGATCATTTCCAGATGCCTTCATGTGCACTAAAAATTTCAATTTATACACTTTTAAATTTCCAAATGGTTATACTCAAGATAAAACTTTTCGATAAAAAGCACTTTTAAATTTCATATGCCTAACTTACAATTAATTCACACTAAAAGAGACATTTACGAAATAACAATACTAACTCATTCTAAATTTACAAAAACATTTAAACTTTAAGTCCTTGTATTCCTACAGCAGATAATTAAAATTAAATATCCAAGGCTCATCTTAAAATAGGTATCTTAACATCGGATAGAAATAATTTAAAATACGGAATAAAATGCTCTTCTAAAAAGTTACTAAAAAGGTAAGAAATTAGAGTTTATAAATACAAAGGAACTTGCAGATCACCTTCTGGAACGCCCACCGGGCCTGCAGGTAGACTTGTGGACTAGGAGAACCTCGACCTTCCGACCACCATTCAGCTCTTTAGAAACACTTGATTTTCTGCCGAGGAACGCTCACTTCTTGTCAACCGTCTTGAATCTAGCGACACTCCGTCTATCATATCCCGTCAACTATTCTGAGGCTTCAGATCAACTTTCTTCCAGGAAACAGCTCATCCGATCAATGTGGCGTAATTAGTCGCGGTATCCAGGGACTCTTTCCAAATATCAACCTTTCAGCATTTCCGCCTAGATCAACTCATTCCGAGATTCCAGCTAAATCTAAACTCATTCTCGATGATACCGGCTCAGAACATACTTCTAACAGCCATGATAGATCCTGTCAGCGGTGATGTTTCAACTCAACATTCCATCGGGCACGATCCGCACTCCCGTCGTACTACTTTTTCAGGCACTCCCGTCTTACTACTTTTTCAGCCACTCTTCACGCCTCTTATACTTTTCTCAGCAAGGCGGAATAATTCATACTGACCTGTTTACTCGCTCAAAAGTCATCCCGCATCCAGTGGACGTCAGAACAAAAAAAAAATCCACAAGAAAAACCAGCTACAAACCCACTAACACGCCATAAAAGTGATAATCTAAAGCTCCTTAAATGTTAATACAATTTATATCCACAATCTACCCCAAAAATCCCATTTTAAAAGAATAAATAAAAATTTCTCATGAAATATCATAATTTTGATTGCATTTAAATTTTATCATAGTGGTGCCATCTATTGAAAAATAACCCTTCTTTAAAAAGTATTGATACAAAAAAAAAACTTCAATAAATTCCTATTTATTACAATGGTGCATTTTGAAACTGTTGTACCACAGATTTGGTACCTTCTTGAATAACACACATAGATTGTAATAATTACATCCATAAAACAAAAAACTAGAAATTCTTTAACATAATTAATAAAGCCTTTTTTTAATTATTTATTCAATTGTAATTTTATAGTAACTTTCAGGAAGAATGTGTGTTATTTGTCTCTGTTAAACTGAATGCAACAAAATATATAGGTTGGTATAAAATTTCTGCCGTACGCTGTACAGTGTAAATGATATTTATGTCTATTGAATTTTCACTTTTAAAAAGACAACAAAAAGACATATATTTTTTAAAATTGATCTGCGTGAGAAATTTCAGTGAATAAAAAAGATACCAACAAAATACATACCTCAGTAACAGTTTTCACAGAATTCTGTATCATTATTTGAGCAGCTCTTTCAAAATGTCTAGCAGATCTCATAATGTGGTCTGGTCTATCCATCCAATTTGATCTCTCACGAAGAAGTGCTTTCATTCCAGCCACAGTATGGCCAACCTAAAACAAATATAAATACTAAATCTTGCTCCATAAAAATTACTAACTTACCATGCGAATTTATAGCAAAAATTTAACTAAAACAAAACATTAACTAACTAACTAACTCAGTGGCGCGACAGCCCATTAAGAGGGCCAAGGCCGACTGTGCCCATCTCAGTTTTCTTGACCTTGGGCTCTGGGGTGCAAGAGCATATGTTCCGGTCAGGTGGTCAGCCGAACGCGGAACCCCCAGTGTTAGTTCCCAAGCATGCTTGGTACTCATTTTATCGACCCACTGAAGGGATGAAAGGCTGAGTCGGCCTTGCCCGGCCCAAGGATCGAACCAAGGACCTGTGGCACGGCAGCGCGAAGCGCTACCACTCAGCCACCGGGCGTCACAAAACAAAACATTACAGTACATAAAATTTATTTTAAAATACAGTTTATAACAACAATTTACACTGCTCAAATTCTAAGAAATCAGAAAAATAAGTAAAATAGAGCCGTGGTTACTAACACCATTGGAGTAAGAGTAATGGCAACTTTTTCAAATGATTTTTTAACTGCATAAATAACTATGAGTAATTAGAAATAAGTAGTGATCGTGCATTATTTCAGATTGATTATCTGGTCTGGGAAGTAAAGATATGTGATGCATAATGTTGACTGCTTGTATTCAAGGGTAGAAACTAAGAAATATTAGTCACTTTCAGTTCTTTTCCCCATTTTTTAAACCTTTCAACATTACCTACATTATATGTCTTCTGCGTCAATCTGAGTCATAACACAGCTATTCCATTCATAATGAATCCTCATTGTTGAAGAAAGTATCAGATTTAGGTTTTATTTAATATACTCTATAGATTTCTAATATATATTTAATACCCTGGGTAAAATTACAAAAAAATCTATTGTGGTGCCATCTGATGAGTTCCTTTGATACTAGTATATTATATACATTGGAACAGAAAAGACATTCAAAAATTAAGTTATAAGTGTTCTAAGTTTCTTTTTATTAATAACATGTACAGCAGTTAAAAAGAAAAAACAACTTGTTGAAATAATTTTCAAATGTAAATTTTAATGCTACTCACCAATAACAATTCAAAAGCTTTGTCCCAAATTCGGTTATTACCAGGACCACTTCTTAAACCTCCAGTTTCACCAGACATTATACTAAGAAGATCAGCAACATTACTCAGAGTTCGTGTGTAAACAACTGATCTTTGATAAGATAATAACACTGTAATATAATATTTAAATTAATTACAATTTAACAACTTAGTACGAAAAATAATCTACATAAAGTACTTACAAATCATGAATATATATATATTATATCAATTTAAAAAATTATAAAAAATAACCTTTTAAAAATAAAAAATTTGCTTATAATATCGAAACTGAAGGTAAAGAATGCAATGAAAATATATAAAACATGGCTAAGCTTTTAGCCCAGGGGTTTCAAATTCATGGTCCATGGTGTTACTAGGTCATGCAGCTGGCTGAGAGTCTGAGTCAAGATAAATCTTAGAGTCTAATACCAGTTTTTCAGGATGATTCAGCAGTTCTAGTGATATGTGACATTATTCTAACTCCATGGTTACTCAAAAAACTCTCCCTTGGGAGTGATTTGAGGGTAAAACTGGTCCAGTGTTAACCCTTTTGGAGGACAGACCATTTCAAAAATCTCATTAAGGTTTTTAAACGTCAATTATTTGTTTTTGAGTTTTATTACAATTGCAATAGCCAAGTGAATAAAATAAAGTTATTAATTTTATAAAAAATATTTTTTTAGTTTTTTTTTTGCACAATATTTCTTGCTACTTAATTGCTACATCTATATACATTTATATTTTTATTATATATTTTACTTGTATATTATATAAGGGAGCCTAAAAGCTTTGACAAAATTGGTGGTCTACACAACTAAAAAGGTTGGGAACCATTGTTCTAGCCATATGATTTAGGTGCATCCTTTAATTACCCTGATGGAACCACTTAGTAATTTTGACCACGTGTAGAGCATCTGAAATCATAATTCTTTTCTTAAATTTTAATGACAAACTTTGCGCTATATGTACAAACTTCCAGATTCAAACACATGACCCATAGCTCTCGTCCAGAAATGTTAGCCAAGGCCGAATTAATTTATTGGAGTCCTACATCTCAAGAGCAATGAAATATAAAATATTCAGACTGCATGAAACAATCAATTACAAGTTTATAGTATGAAAATTTACAGTTTTGAGATTTATGTTCCTTACCACTGTCCAAAGTATTCATGATATTTTGGGTCCACCCCTCTGATTGAGCAGCATAAAAATAAGGAAGTAAGTATGTATCTTCATTTTGGCATAGCACCCTTTTTATAATTTCACATGAAGTTTTAGAATATTGGTTTCTAAAACAATAAAAAATACTATTCATCAAACGTTACTGTACAATATATATAAAGCAATAATGAATTAGATTATTCTGTTCTTAATACCTCCTTTGGTTATAGACTTTTTCATAATCAATATTTTCAGCTAACTCAATTAAAGAAAAGCGCTTACTTTCTCTCCACCTGACAAAACAACAAAAATAAAATCATTATATTACATTATGTATGAGATAAATAAATGTGTCATTTTAATAGTTCTTAACTAAGTAATAAATTTTAAAAATTATAGACGTGACTTGATTTGCTTCTTTAGTACGGAAAGTTTGATTTACTTTCTTTTAAATTTTACATTCAGTAGTAACTGAAATTGTGATATTTAAGTTTGTTTCCTGTCTAACTTGCATTTAAAAACAACTCACTATAATTATACTTTCAGACGAAACAAAAATAAAGACTTATATCATAATTTCACATAATTATGGCTAAAATCATAAAATAATCATCAAATAACAAGTATACTTCCTTATGAAAAGGGTATTATATTACACGAAATGTTGGAAAGGTATATAGCAGTTGCCGGATTAAAAACTTCATTCGCTTCAAAAATATATAAATATGAAAAAACAGTCAGCATGTTTCAAGCGCTTTAAAGATAGATACCCATTTTCAAGACTTTCTTCGACATAAATGTCTGGCAAGTCTTGAAAATGAGCACTTGTTTTTGAAGCGCTTGAAACATGTAGACTGTTTTTTCATATTTGTATAATTTTGAAGCGAATGAAGTTTTCAATCAGGTAATATCTTACTACTTCAGTTTCTTGGGATTATTTACTTAATTTGTGTAAAGCAATGTTCGAAGGAATAAAACTTAAGGGAAGTGAAAACAGAACACCATAAAAAAATTTATTTTTTCTTCGTTCCGATACATTTACTTACATTTTCAGTAATGATTCATGATGTTCAGTGGGCCTATCACAGAAAAAGAGTTGAAGAATATCCTTTAAGGAAAAACCAGGTGGATAAAGTTTAGCATTCGCAAGAGTTTTTCTCAGGTTGAGCTAAAATAAAGTGTTACAAGCTGCTTAGTTAAAATAAAGAGACCATATACTTAAAAATTTGAGTACAGGCTGCTTAAATGCTTTTTTTTTTTTAAGAAAGGGCACAATAATACAAAATATTTTTAAATTGGCATTAAATTGTCTCAAACACATATTATTGGAGGAAAATAATGATACTATAATCACATTAGGATAGCTTTTAGTCAGTAAAAGTACCACAACAAATTAGGTTTATAGAGCACACAGATGAGGCAACACATTAACACTAATTAATACAGCTATAAGAAATAATACATTATTTTTTAAGAGACTAAAAAAAGGTTACAATATCTTCATTTTATCAGGTAAAAACTGATAAAAATTAAGGGTTGAGATAAAATATAACGAATAATAAATACTTATGCTAAATGCTGAAAAAAAAAAATTTGTCCCTTTCAAAAAGTTCAGTGGAATAATTACATTATCACCCTAAATGCTATTAACAAAAATCATTCAAAATCCCCTTCCTCCAAAAAATAAGGCCGAATCAATGCACCCTAATTTTTTATGATGTTTTTTATAAATATACCAAAAAACACAGAGTTTCATTTAAGTAACAAAAAAAAAAATTATGTAAACTTTTAAAGCTAATTTACTCATTGACTAAAGTGGGAAAATGGGTAATTATCTGTGTTGTAAATTTATTACCATAATATCAGAAATACCTATTACAACAATTAAGAATTGGAGGTTTTAATAATGAGCTTGGCAATTTTTTATGTTCCCAGCAAATACTCTAAAAAGTCACTTACAACCTCTATCTATTAAGCTTTTTATTTATTATGTATACATATACATTTCAAAACAAAAGTAACTGTAAAAATATAGTTGTATTCAGAACTCTGAGTAGCTGCACATTAGGGGCCATTCAAATATTATAAAATACATAGGAGGACAGAGGTTTATTGATTTGTTCATTTCTGACTATAAGGAGTCTAGGACTGGGGTATTAGAAAATTTTGCAATTTTTCCAGTTTTTATAATTTTTTCAGCAAAAAGGTCAAAATTTCTTTTACTGTAAAAAATTCCTTGTGGATTCTAAAAATAATTAAGTGGAAGAAGAAAAAATTACTTTTTGAAATTTTTTTTATGCAAGAATAAGAGTATGATAAAAAGTATGATTTTAGTTTTGCTGACAATGAGGTCTTAAATCAAAATATGATTCAGGTAATATTTGAATGGTCCCTTAGGCAAAAAGTTATGATAAGAAAATAATCACCATATGAGGATCCCATATATCTTGTTCATTTTTCTGTAGAAATGAAGACAAACAGAAACTTTCTGCATTAAAATTTACAGGAATCTAAAATAAATAAATAAATGTGAAGGAATTTTAACTAATCGATCAATATAAGTTTTTAAACTAAGCAAAGAAGGTTTACCGTCAGGATCTCATTTTGGATGTGTTTAAATTTTAATTTATAGATATAACACTTTTTATTTAATAACATTTATTAGTTACATATTTTATCTTATTTTCTTATTATTTTAACACATACTAGGAAGGAATTACTTGGCACTTATGTTTTAAAAGGCAAAGATCTCCAGAAATCAAAATTCAAGATAGAATAGAATTGAATTCATCAATTGTAACAAAGAATTAACATTTTATTATGCTATTGATAACTAAAATACAGATAACCATAATTTTTTTCTTTTACGAAACAATTAAACAATTTACTTTTACCTCAACAGAAATTTATTTTTCTTCCATATATTTCAACCCAAATCCAGGTAGGTACACTTTTAAAAAAATTACATTTACATTTAGAAATAAACAATATTCAGGAATAAGAATAAAAATGTGATGATTATAAAGTTGAACAGCTTATTATTAGAAATAAATTATATTAAGCAATAAAAATAAAAGCACAACAATGGTTTTAAAGTTGAACAGCTTATACTAGAAATAAAGTACATAAAGCAATGTAAATAAAAAAGACAATCATTATTTCAAAGTTGAATGGCTAATTACTTTAAAAGTCAAAGAAATTTGGTTGAGTTACTGTAGAAAATTAAAAATGATTATAATGTTAAAAAAAATTCAATATTACTTTTAGACAAACTTTGTTCTCAAGACGTTTCGAGAAAATATTTTTTTTATAACATTATTTATTATTGGTATTATACTGTTAACAATTATGTTAAATGTTAAGGAGAAATTATCAACTAATTAAAAAATCCGATACACTTAAGGACAAATACTAGTTAAAAACATGTATCATCATAGTGGAAAAATCATAAAATTTTATCATCACATTTAAAACTTATAATAAATAATTATAAACCTATAAATATTTATAATAAAAGCTTTGAGATATAAGTTCAGAAAAGGTAGAATGATTAAGGAGTTTTAATTTTAAGAAAGAGAAAAATAGTCAAATAAATTTGCAAGAATTCCTCTATCAAAATCAGTGTGACATAATATACAGATAAATTGATAAACAATGACAAAAATCCCCATGGCATAGTTCCATAGAGCTGTATTTATAAATGATTAATAGACTAGCAGTTTGCAGAAATGCACATTTCTTACTTTTCATGTAATCACAAATATCTTGTTCATAACCATGACATAATCCTATTGATAAAAATCATACTTCTTGTAAATCTAGTTAAGGGCGATTCCACGAAAAGTGGTCCTGAGTGACTAAATTTTCAAAATTATCGTAAAATCAAAAATGATACAATTTCGGAATCTAGAAAATGTACATTTTTTAATAGTTAAGATAGTTTTTTGAATTACAAAAAATATTTATGTGAATTCTAACAGAAGGTGGAACACTATGAATTTTAACAGGAGTTCTCTTCTTTGTTATGTTATATTCCAATGGAGTTCTTAAAATATTAAAGAGCAATAAAATAGTTTTTAGTAATAAATATAACTATTTTACTCTTTTATCATTGTTTAATGTATTTTTTTAATTTGGCCTAAATTTTTTTGCTTGTTTGAAAGTCGATTAATCAAGATAGTCTAATTTCCCAGTAACACACGTAACATAATTTTGCATTTTTTTCTGTAAAAACTTTAGTAAAAAAGAAAATTTAAAAATTTTTTGTTTTATAAATTAAGAAGGCAAGATATGCAACGGAAAAAATTCTCGAATTAAAACTGCCAATAGTTAAAATTTTATAATTAATTTTATTCAAGGTAACACACGTAACGAAAAGTTACGCGCGTTACTGTTATGTGTGTTAGAGGTACTTATACACTTTAATTATTTATTTA